CAGTTTTGTATCATCTGTGAATTTGCTGAGGATGCACTCTATCCCATTGTCTAGGTCATGAATGGAGATGTATTGACCCCTGGGGCACACTGCTGATGACCAACCTCCAGCTGGATTTTTTGTAGCTGACAACAATCTTTTGAGCCTGACAGTTCAGTTTTTCAGTCCACCTCACTGTCCACTTATCTAGTCTGTACTTCATCAGTTCGTTTATGAAGATGTTATGGGAGACGGTGTCAAAAGCCTTACTAAAGTCAAGATGAACACATCCACTGCTCTCCTCTCATCCGCGAAGCCGGTAATCTCTTTGTAGAAGGCTAACAGGTCGATCAGACATGATTTCCCCTTCATAAATCCATGCTGATGGCTCCTAATCACCTTCACATATCTTGGAAGTTATTTCCAGGATTAGTTATTCCACCACCTTCCCAGTGATTGAGGTGAGGCTGACTGGCCTGTAGTTCCCCAGATCCTCCTTCTCGACCTTCTTGAAGATAGGACTGGCATGTTTTCTCCCACCTCTGTTTTCAGCTAAACTTATCTAGAGAAGACCTTTAGATTACAGTTACCTTTTCTTGATGTAACTTGCTTGTTATTTTTGTAAGGACGCTTTTAATTTAGACACCACAAATGAAAATAATACTGTTCACTGAATTTAACTTTACTATATGTTGATCAAATCTTCACCTTACATTTGGAAGCAGGTTAAATTTGTACTGAATATAAATAAGGTTGTATGCTAAAAGTACTGTAATATTTTTTTTTAAATTTTTTCCTCCCTTCCGCTTCATTAGCTGGAACCAACCCAGGTTAATTGAGAGTGGGAACTCTATTCCAGACTGCCATCTTTAGAGAATAATCAGTTTTCCTGAGAGCATCACAGGGAGATTGTTAGGGAAGGCACTCATAAAGGCCTTCCTTTGATGCACACGAGAAACCATTTATGCGAGCTAGCAGCTCCCTACCCATCAGTATGAAACTTAGAAACATTCATTCTGGTCATGGAAGCGGAAGCTTGCAGGTTGGTGGGAGCAAACCAGGACATCAGTCAAGCTGAACTGATTTATATCATAATTAAAAATGGATCCTTTAAAGGAGTAGGGAAGCTTTTGTGCATTTTATGTTGTTTTCCTTGAAAATACTTGGTTCGCACTGGCTGGCAAAAAGTGAAATAAGTTGTTTGGTAAATAGTGTTAGTCCTTTATGCTAAAGTAAGTGTTGACTTTGCACTTTTAAGCAATTATACAACCTAACACAAATTTAGTTAGTTGCATAATATTTACACATTCTTATTTTTATAAAATAATGATTGTTACGTTTCCTGCTTACCAGCTGATGATTAATTTTGATTTGGGACATGTTCAGTTGCATTTGGATGGAAATCTGAATTCAATTAAAACTACAGAAACATAGTATTATACACTTTCCCCCCCAAACATATTCCACATTCAAAACTAGTGGAGTAGACTAAACAAAGGCAGTATCTTTATTGAGTGAAGCAGATTGTTTCTGGATATCATGGTCTTCTAGTTTTTATAATTAATGGATATCATCTTGAGAAGGAAAGGTGCAGGTGGCTTTGGTCTGACAAGCCTGTTATGATTTTATTCTGGAAAAGTTATGCATGGAATATGGTAACATGATTTTTGAAGTGGCAAAAAGGTGTTTATATTACCTTCTATGTTTTTTTTAGAGTTATTCTGATCTATGGTTTATTACAGTAATTAAGTATTCCCAGATGTTAGCAGGTGCTTGTTTTACTATGCAGAAAGTTACTGTCCCCCAGCTTTGTTCTTTATAAAACTTTGCTTTGTTGATAGATTTAAGCATTGAGTGCATAATTTTTTTTAAGATCTTACTCATTTTGACAGAAGAAAAAATATGAAGAAACTTTCTATGAAATACCTGTTTCTTGGTTTTGCTCGTTTCTGTTTGGTGGTGGGTTGTATGAGATGAGGACTGTGTATGTACGTGCAGAGCTTAGAATAGAGTTCAAGCTTCAACCCAGGCTTCGATCCAGGCTTCCTCCATTCCAATAATAATAATTTGCTCTAAGTGAAAGAAGGAGCATAAATTTCTTAGCATGCTTCAGACAAATTTTTATTTAAATTCCACCTTGTCTGCTGTTCTCAAGTAAGGAGACACCTTTATACTATTTGGGTCTGTGATGCCTGGGCCAGCAGGTCCCTCCTTTCAGGTCTGAGGGGCTCATCCCCTAGCCTGCCTGGACACATGGCAGGAAAAAGGCTGCAGGATAGTCTCATCCCATTAGATCAGGAGAAATCGCAGGCTACCTCAGACTTCATGCCATCTGAAACTCAGACCGGTGCAGTAGATCTGTTTCCTGGGACACATTGCGTGCAGTGAAACCCCAAGATGATCCAGCTGTCAGGAGGAATCAGTAATGACTGAAGCAAATGGTTGCTGTGACTGTTGCAACATGATTGCCTTCCGTGCTGTTTTACTGCCTTATTCTGACAATAAATTAGGCCTAGGATGCATAGGGGCAAATAAAGAATAATGGAATAAAGTATAAATGTATGACTCTACAAATCTACCTCGATGTGCTCTGTCTGAAAGGTTAATAAAATATGTAATTGTTAATGTAAGTGCTGACAGCTCACATACTAAAGTGGCTTCTAAGAGAGAGCTGCAAACTTACTTATGTTGCTAACCAAAAAAAAATCTGATTTCTGTATTTTGGTGAATTTAACATGCAAGTAAAATAAAGATATTTAAAGAGGCAAAATTTGTGGTATTTGGGTTTTGCTATAGGAGCCCTGTAACCTTTAAATCAATTTAATAGCAGTATGCAATGGCATTTGCTAAAACAGCATGTATATTACATGCTTAAGTTTAGGGAGTCTGGTTCATCAAGGACACCTTAAATTACAGGGTTTCCCAGCCTTCCGCCCCCCCTCCTCCCAATGGTGGTGGTGCCCGCAGCATCTTCCAGCTCTGGGCAAAGCTGTTACAGAAGTTTTTTGTTACCTTGACAGTGTTTATCTTCTGCTTTGAAGTAGCTTGCCATAGTTTGAAAATACATTTATCTAATGTGTACTCTGAACATTTCAACTTCAATGTTAAAAAAGAAATATATATTGCACCTTTGTTCCTTAGTGCTTTTACTCAGAATTTGAATGAAACAGCCAGTGAGTCGTTAGTTGCTAGAAAGGGGAAGATGATTTTGCAGTTACTAAGCTTTCCACTTCTCTCTGAAGGCACCTCCTTTACCCAAACCTGTGAAGTCTAATTTTTTGAACTGGAGATTTTTGTCAAAGGGTGTTTTTGTCAGGAAAAAAAAAAAACACAATTCCCAAACCCAGTAAAATCATTATCCTTTCAAGATGACTTCTGAATGACTCTGTGTTCATGTGTGTGTAGGAACATACCAGTTGGCATTCATGCCTGCATGCGTCTGAATAGCGGAGATCCTGAGGGGAATGAGGACTTGCTTTGGGAAGTGATTCTTAGAAATTTCTGGACAAGTGGCTTACAACGCTATGTAGGACCTGTTTATTTTGCTTCTTCTATAAGCAGAAAGCCTTTGGCTGCTGAGTAGTTTTATTAAGCCATTAACAGATATGCTTTAAAACAGATATGTCTTGTACAGACACATTCAATACTGATGATACTGGTGTGGCCAAATCTGACATGCAGGAAGAACTGAGCTGATTAAATGAACAGATGCCATTCAGATGGTAAAAGGCTGTTCTAAACTCTGCTGTGGCGGTTTTCAACAAGTGCATGAAAAAGGAAATGAACATTTTTATTGAACAAGTGGTTATTCAGCTTTTAATGTAAATTGTTATCATTCTGCAATACTACTGCTGCTTCATCATCTGTTGGTAGGCCTTTTGGGGGCCAGGTCTCTTCAGTCTCAGTAATGCTGCTAAAGTCAATGTGGCTGCTCTGCACAGTTCATTTACACAAATAAAGGAGAAGATGCAGGAGAAGGCGGCACGTGTGACTTTAGTCAAATGAAGGCTGATGACTTTCCCTTCTTTCCCTCCAGATTCTTGTCCTTATTGTACTGAAATTTACTTTAAGAATTGGCAAAAGAAGGATTTTCATAAAACTTTGAACTATTGAATTGTTATGCAATTTTTGCAGGAATTCACAAGGCAGAGGTCCAAAAAAAAAAAAATCTGTACGTCACTTAAGGCAAAAAATTGTGGCAAGATTTCTTCTTTCAAAAGAGAAGATCCCTGTGCAACATTAGATTCATTCCACAAAGTGGCAAGTTTCATCTGGGAGTATCCATTGCTCCATAAAGTCCACCTTTAAAAGGGGAAATGCTTTAGGAGATCTGCTGAAAGTCTCTCTCACTTTAGATTGCTGTAGTCATGGATTGGTATTCACAGATAAGAACAGCTTTTCCCATTTTTCGCAAACCCTATTTTAGGTACTTCAAGCATGGACAATTATTTTGCAAGTTGGTATCATCCTAATGTGCAGAGGAAATGAAGGGTTTCAGATATACTTGAAATGGTGAGAAAATCTATTTTAGGTTAAAATCAGTGGATTGTTCCCCCCCCTCACCCTTTGCTATTGACATGAAACTTGCTTTGCAGCCAAATCATATGGTTTAAGTTGTTGTGCAACATGCCATTTGAGGATGTGAATGACTGTTAATTTCCACTGTGTTATGCACATGCTTACAGCTCCAGAAAAGGAATCAATGAAACGTGGTGGATCACACAGCACTTGGCTAGCTTCAGGTTTGTGCTTGTGCTTGAATTCCAGTAGAATCAAGCATGAGTCTAATCCAAAGCCCAGTTAATTAAAATACAGTTGAAAGATTGTGAGATGACAAGACTTTGGGGTAAGTCTTAAGTTCTTTGGGGTTTCAGTAAGTTTGCAAATTGTACTGCTAAAACCTCATTTTTCTCAAGTAGATAATTATCTTCATTTTTACGCTGT